TTGAGAGTAGCCGACAGTGCAAGAGAACCCGGCTACTATAATTGTTGAACACATGGATGTCCACATCCCCATTTGGGCATTTATTCATCAACACTTTACATCACTAACAGACCGAAGCGCATGTATTAGGTAACTGATGCTCATGAGGCTTTACTTCTTGAACGGTTTGCGGAACCAATGTCCTGATCGCATGACGACGTCGTCGGTGAATTCCAATGGGGTGCTTCCAGTGTGAGGCCGAGCGCTGATTCCTACCGCACGGAAGGAGGACTAACACAGCTTCCCAGGCCGGACCACGTGTTTTCAAGCTCAGCCAGTCCAGGACGATCATTTGGAAAGACCTGGTCATCCAAGAAGAGTCAAATAACCAATCGGCCACATAAAGAAACACCCAGTTTTGATACCTGGCGGGCCATCTATGTTTGCCACTAAAAGGTGACCTCATTGGCATGGTTCAATGCTTCAAGAACTAGACAGTGAACTAGACTTATGTCGGGTTCCTACCCTTTCGACCCGTATTTTGATATCAGGTGTTCAAGATTCAATTGATATCAGAGTGTTTGATGACCAAAAAGATGATCACGATGTTTGGGAGTGCGGCCGGCAACTGCATAACTGAGATCATCCTGGATAGGCGCTGAACATGGATTCCCGATCGGATCCAAATACCGTATATCCTTTTCGGATAGAATACCCTCAGAGTCCAGTCACGACTGATTTGACCCCCATGGCCCATGGTAGTGGTGGATTATGACTACCAGGTGGAGTAAAATGAGTCAAACCGAAGTTCTGGGATGCTTCTGGACACATCCTGCCCTGGTTTTGCCTCCAGGTGATGTTTGTTGTTTTCCCCACAGGTAAAAGCATGTAAAACCCCTTTCTACCAGGACCCTTGAAGAGGTGTCTTATAAGAGGTGCCTCTTAGAGGTCAGGAGGTGTGCAAGATCCACCGGACTTGGAAGGTCCTGGTATATAGCATTTGGAAACTCGAACCATCAGCATTCAGTTACCTTTTGAGAACCTGGTTGTTTCAGTCACTTAAGCCTCCTAAGGGTCACTGGATGGAACCTTCAAAAGGTCACTTTGAAGAAGCTGGAACATGTTAATTTCTTTCCCAGTGCCGCAAATCCAAGCTCTTGGATGCGAATCTCAGGCAAAAGAGCGAGGCCAAACCCATGACGCGCCCGGAGAGGTGCGGGCACGCAGATGGGCGGACAGATGGGTGAGTGTGGCTGCCTGGAACATCCATTGAATCAATTGGTTTACAGGAAAATCTGCAGGAAACCCTTGTTTTCCTCCCTAAAACTATTGCATTCCTGCAGGTTTTCCCTCAAACCAAGTCTTGGATCCATCCGTTCCACACCGGTCCGCCCTGCGAGTCGTTCCGCATCGCTGCGGCGGCATTCAGCGTAAGCATTCCTGTTCACGAAGAAGTGCCATGCGAGGTTTTACTGTAGGTGTTCTGAATATATAGGCCTGAAGCTGGTGATTGCATTTGGAGGGGATGGTTCTGAAGACTTTCCATGCACCAAGCGAACGTCCCACCTTTCTTGCCAGAGCCGGGCAAGACTGCCCGGCTCTTTGGTGATCAAGATTTGGTAATGGCACTAATTCAAAGGATGGTGAAGCCTGACCTTTGTCAAGGCTGGTCAATACCAGTCAGGGAGTGAACATTAGACTTGGTCAACACCACATATGTAGGTATATAATTATATAGATCTAGCAATTTGTAGAAATGCAATGCCCAACAAAGCCTGCTTGACGAGTAGTCATGATCATTTTAATACCGTTGAGCACTCCTGCAGCTGGATTGTATCACATGAACATGTTTTTGATTTGACGAATTGTTGGGCTTGCCCAATCAAAACTGCAAAACAATAAGAACATCACGTTGGAATTTGAAGCAGTCTAACAGCCTTTGAACGAGGGCGGTTCTTGCAATCGTGGATTGGGGTTGCTTCAATTGAGGGCTGCTTCTTTAACATTCTTGCTTCTCACATTTCAGACAATTGGAAGCAAGGTTAACTCGGGAAGAGGAGTGAAGTCCCAAATTGTTTTCTTACATATATGATGGATTTAAATTCACATATTATAATTATTATATATGTTTTTCATGTATAAATCCACATGTAGCATATTGAATAATGAGATCGTATGTGTATATATATATATATTGTATATATTCGCCGACCCAGGCCCAACGCCGGCGGTCGCAGTGCGACGCGCGCGTCGCCGGAGCGCGTGGCGGAGCGCAAGCCGGAGAGCCTATTGGGGGGATGGCGGGGAGGGCAGTGGTTGGCCTTTCTTCAGCCCCTAAGAATCCTTGGGCTCTACATGGCGGGGGTCGGACCCTCCATAGCAGGAGTCCGGGGCCCTCAAAACCCTACATTTGTTTGAGGGCCCGGATTCTTTGGGACAAGGCGTTGGGACAAGGGTTGGGACAAGGGTGACATTTGCGCTGGGATGTGAGGGTGACATTGGCTCATGTGACAGCCAGCAAGGTGACTCAGATGTTCCCGAGGCTCCTATTCTCGAAGTGCAGAGTCTGTATCTTACCCACAGGCTCACCGGACCCTCACAACTAGGGGCACCCTCACAACTAGGGGGAACCTCACAACTAGGGTTTTGGACCTCAATCATGTAGCGATTTGAGGGTCCATGAGCCTTTCCGTGATGGCAGTTCCCTCACAACGGAGAGTATCCCAAAGACAGACCCACTTCTCCAGGTGGAGTGCAACCAGGTAATGAAAAGTAGAACCAGAGCAAGTTCAAGTATAGACACTCAAAGGGGCCTGATGTGAGATTCTCACAGCATAACCCAACAGACCATCCATTGTCTCACAACTCATGGGGAGGGGTCAGTTTGATCCACTTTGACAGGACATCAACATACATGGGCGGTGTGAATTAAAATTGACTGGAAGGAAAAAAGACGAACACCCCATTGGTGGAGGATCTCCCTATAGTAGAATGCACACCCAAGGACTGATCTGGACTGCGTTGTTCCAAGCTGGTCCCGTTCCCATTGTTTTATGGGTGGGCACCGATCTACTGATGATGGGCACCGATGTACCGATGTGGGCACCGGTCGCGTGGAACTGGTAGTTCACTCATTGTTTGCCGACTCAAAAAGACATGGAAGTGGAGTTCGCCACCTACTGTAGCTATGAGTCATTGCACCTCTTCCACCTACAGTACAGTAACCATCAGGGTGCCTGGGTGGAAGTGACCCACAGCCACCTGCTTGTCTAGGAGAAGAGGGTTCCTTTCATGGTCATTTTCCCATCCGCTTAGACTTCTCAAAGTGTTCGTCAGAGCGAACCTTTTGGTTTGAACAGATCTATGGGTGAATGCACCGTCCATGGCTTTGATCCGTCCATGAGTACTTCGCAGATTTTTGGGGCCATCGATCATCGAACCCATCCGATTTGCTTGATGCATCCTTAGTGTGTTTTTCAGGGGCTTGTGAGGATTGAGTTAGGTGAGCATCAGTGTGAGCATCATATATACAACCATATTGATTTCGTTTGGACTTTCCATCCATCCCGGTCCTTCTCACAAATCTGGCAGGTGCGTTCCGCTTCGCAGTGCTTTCCGGATCGACCGTGTTGTACCTTCGCCGTGACCTCTGCAGGGAACCAATTTTGCTCAGGGGAGGGGGGGAGGGGCGTTGCTCGGCCGCGCCGGTTGAGGCCCTTTTGGGGGGTTGAGGCTTGGAGCACTCCTTTTTGTGCGAAGGCTTCTGGTTCTTGACACCGCCAAGCTCAAAGAAAAGACTGCCTGATTATATACCCTTCCTACAACAATTGTGGATGTGGAGTTTATGCACTGTTTGGTATTCGGATTTGTCTTTCCAGGGGTCGAAAAGAGAGGTAGTCCAGGGGTCGAAGACCTGGCATCCCGGAAAAAGCTGGCGAAAATGGCTCAAACCAGAACCAAAGAACAGATTTGACGAGCGGTCTCAGCTTTGAAGGGCAGTAAACTCCATGAAAAGCTTTCATCGCACATCTGGAGAGGCATACTAATCACTATACTAGACTACTAGTATCAGTACGCTGTCCCAACATTTGGACGGCACCACGTATATGCACACATTAAAATCGGCAAGATAAATCACACTTGGCAAAAATGCGTTCTTGATTCTTGAGTGAAGATCAAAGTAAAAGGAACTCCACATCAAAAGAAACAAACATATCTTTCAGGGCCCGACCACAGGTAAATATGTGGACAGTCTCTCCTCAACTATGGAAGTGGAACCTCCATCAAGTTGGGTAATAGAGGACCAGTCTTCTTCGGAGAGTAGAGGATCAGTCCACGGTTTTCTTGAAAGGCAATCCCAGACACGACGTGTCGTCATGGGACTGCCAGGACGGACTGCCGCCCCAGAAAGACCCCCAGTCCACCCCGGTCGGCCGTTTTGAAGGCATGGCAGTCCCAGACAGGTCGTGTGGAATGGTTTTCGTTCCCGTGGGGCCAAGAAGCACCGGTGAAGCACGTTCGGTGGACGTGGTGCCCCCGGTTGCTGGGACCCAAAGGGTGTGTCTTAGCAAGAGACACCATGCGGATCGGCTCATGTTCAACCCACCAGCCGGGGTGGTGGAACAGATTGGCATAGGCGGCATAGGAATATGGACACCACGCATGGAGTATACTCAGGCCACTGGGCATTCCTGCTTGGTGCTGGAATATCTACAAGCGGCCCCAAAGAACGAATCGAAGGTATGTGGGGACCCTTGTGTGGACCCTATAGAACAGGGCTATTTGAATGAGTGTTCGTCTTTTTTGTTGCCCAGCCAAGCCAGGACCAAGTGACCCTAAGACCTCCAACTACCTCCAGAGAAGGTAGTTTCCTTATGTGTCCGTTATCCTGGCACCTCGAAACACATGTAAAACACTATCAAAAGACATGTCAAAACACCAAACACCTCAGGTGGGGTGCCTCCGAACCAACCCGGAAGCGCACCAATTAGCGGTCAGGGCGGTCGCCCAAGCGGTCGCCTATGGGGCGACGCAAAGAAGAGACCGAAGAGGAGGAAGAAAGTGACGCGGCGGCCCTTTTTCTTGGTGTGTTGATGGTTTCCCGGGGTAGTTGTACACGGATGTTTCAATCTTATCAATAGTGTTTCACGTTATTTGTACTTCAGGATGACTCCTTTGAAGTCCTTTGAAGAGTCATGAGCTTCTGGAGGGGATTTGCCACTCCCTGGGGGCAGGGTCCTTGGTTTTACTCTTCCTGCAATATTTTGAGACGACTCGGTGTGTGGGATGTGGACTCTTTCTGTTACATGGGAGAATGGTGTTTAAGTATGTTTAAGTCATGTAGGGCCTTCAGCATGTTCACTGCCAAGCTCAAAGAAGGCATGATCATGCATGATCATTGGGCGCTTGGAACTGCCACCTCGGAAGCCTTTGTATTGTACACCATATTATGCACATAAGACCCAATAGCGATGACCTCCAACCTACTGTAATATAATTACTGCATGTGAAGATCCATCCGAATCTTGATGTGATCATATTGGCCCAAAGTGGGAGGGCATTTGAACCGAGCTGGCGCGCCATGTAAAAGTTGCGGTTGGTGCTGCAGCTTTCGTTCGTTTCGTGTTGAGTTGGACTTCGAGGGCCATCTCAGTCAGGAGTTGTTGGTTTGAGGCTGCTATATCAACTCTTGTTGTTGGCAGCGGAGCCTCACGAGGCTGCCGCGGGGCATTGTCGTTTTTGGTGCATTGTTTTTGCATTGAGGCTGGCATTGCACATACATTGTGTTGCGTGGTGTTGGCATAGCATTGTGTTGACATTGCGTTGCGATGGCTCCCAAACAGCAGTCGAATGGTCCAGGGCAAGCAACCAGTTCGCAAGCTGCAGGACAGACAAATGTCCATAGTGGGGTGAGCACGGCAAAGCTCGACAACTATGTTCCTGTTTTCAGCAACAACATGCAAGACTACAGAGAATTTCGCAAACGCTGTGAGATCTACAGAAAGAAGATGCAGTTGGGCAATCGCACCAACGAGGTGGTCTACAACCTGGTCACTCTGATGACTGGGAAGGCTTGGGATTTGGTCGAAGACATGACCATGGAACAAATGTCAGGTGAAGATGCATATGATCTTTTGTTTACACGGCTGGACAGAGGATTTCGATTCGATCCATTGACAGAGTTGCCAGACGACTTCGAGCAGTACTTTGTGAAGCTTCAGCGAAAACCACACCAGACACTGCAAGATTACATGAATGATTACACCAGGTGTGAGAGAAGGCTGAAGGTGACCCACAATGTTGAGCTGCCGGAGAAAGTGAGAGCTTGGTGGTTCCTTCGACGTTCAGGTATCACGAAGGAGCAACGGCAGCTGATCCTCACCAATACAGGGACCACTGGACTGACGATTGAAGAGGTGATGAAGTCGATGAGCTTCATTTTGGGGCAAGATTCGACGCTACAATCCTCGTCGTCGACTTCGAGATGGTCAAGGCCAATGGGAAAACCAGTTGACACGTTCTACTGTGATGAGGACGCGCAGTATGATTGGCCAGCTGGATCGGAAGATTTCGCCATTGATCCCTCGCCAACATACTTTGGTGAAGACTATGAGTGGGATGATTGGCACGAAGGTTCATCAGAGCAATTCGATGAGGTTGCATTGGCAGAGCATTGTGAGCAGGTTTATGACGTTGATGAATATGATGATGTGCTTGCAAATTATCAAGATGCCAAAGCACAGATGAACGCCCTTCGTACATCTCGTGGTTTCTATCCCGTTGTGGCCATGCTGCCGAGTGCTTCAGGTTCACATCCCGGTGGTAAGAGCCGCAAGGGCAATTCATCGAAGTCGAAGTCAAAAGGCAAAGGAAAACCAAGTTCCAAAGGAGGCAAGTCTGGAAACCCAAAAGGTCGTGCCGCAGCGGCTATGGGATCTGGACGTCAACTGTGCTTGAGGTGTGGCAATGCTGGACATTGGGCCAGAAATTGTCCCATGCCACCAGGATCCGACAAGAAGCGAAAGATTGGAGACGAGCCCGAAGGTGGTGTGAACATGGTTGAGTCGGTTGAGCCTCCAGTTGATACAACATTGTCAACAGAAGCATTCAACATTGACATTGAAGAGGATGATTTTGTTGGAGACGACACAGCAGTTCAGGACGGAGGTGCAGCATCGGTGTTGGGATCAGCATGTCAGATTCGCAAATACCTTCGTTTTCTGTTGGAACAGGGCTACAACATCCACGACATCCCAATGTTTCATTGTGAGAAAGGCTTCAAATATGGCAATAGCATGAAGGAGACCACCAACAAGTGCATTGTGTTGCCCGTGTTCCTGAGCAACAGTCGCATTGATGTGTTGACGTATGTGATTCAAGGTACAGCTCCCATCTTGGTCGGACGACCGATGCTGGAGAAGTTAGGGCTCATCGTTGACTACCGGTCAAAACAGATGAAGTGGCCAGATACCGACTGGGAGGATCTCCTGACAGGTTCAAAAGGTGAGCACCTATTGCACCTTGGCAAGGACATTCGTCGATGCATTGCACAAGAACCCACCATGGTTTTGTTGCCAGAGGACGTTGAATCGCACGTTGGCGAACCTATCGAACAAGGAGTGCAGAAGTTGCTGGAGGAGGTCATGATTGCCGAGAACGCCAATCCGGCGTTGGAGCCCACGCAGACAGTCACGTCGGCTCACACACGTCGTGTGAACGACGGCATTGAGGAGATCGAGACGGTCAAGCGTCTTCACGGTCACATGCTGCGAAAGTTTGAGAGACAGGCGGAGGAAGCATGTCGTCGTGAGGACAAGATCATGCGGGTCAGTCAGACAATCAACAAGGAGACAAAATGTCGAGTGATTTGGGAGGTTTTTGTTGGTGAAGGTCGAACAACAAAGCATCTCTCCAAGTTTCCGCATGTCGTGACCGAGGTCTTCTCCCTTCAGACAGGATGGGATTTTCGCATCGGATCCCATCGATCCAAGTTCCTCCAGAGGCTTCGCAAAGAAGAACCAGATGAGTTGTTGTTGGCACCCATGTGCAAGTTGTGGTCGCCCATTCAGGAACTCAACATCGCGAGGTCGGAGAAGTACAAGCAAAAGCTGAGTGAAGAAAGGGAATACAACCATGATACCATCTTGACCATGTGTTCCGTTGCATACCAAGAGCAGTACAAAGCAGGTCGCAATGCAACATTGGAGCATCCTTGGTTGAGCAGAGCATGGTATACAAGGGCATTTGCTTGTTTGGAGGAGTTCAGTTATGATGCATACGTTGATCAGTGCATGTATGGTTTGAAAGTTCCAGATCACCAAGGAGAGCTTGAACTGGCAAAGAAACCAACATGCTTCAGGACAACAAAGCAGAGTCTAGCAGATGGACTCTCATGGGCTTGCGATGGATCGCACAGCCATGTTCCCATTGAGGGGAACGCTCCAGGAGGTCAGAAGCGCAGTGCATTGGCAGAGAGCTATCCAGAAGAGCTCGCAAAGCGGTTGGCATTTTTGATGCAGGAGGAGGACGAACCGGAATCCGTTCTTGCAGAGGAGGATGGAGATGTTGAGATGATTCCAGTTGAGCAACAACCACAGCAGCTGGAAGCACAAGCAGAAGTTCCAGATGTTGAGCAAGACATCCTCAAGTACTACCGCGAAGATGCTGAAAAGGAGGTGGATTCAGTGACAAGCAATGCACAGCTTCGTACACAAGTCGGCAAGGCAGCAATGAACTATGTGGTGAGACTTCACAAGAATCTCGGACACCCCGGGACAGATGTGTTGTGTCGAATGCTTGAGGAAGTGCAAGCTACAGACAATGTCATGACAGCAGCAAAACGATATGTGTGTCCAGAGTGCTACATCAGGCAAGGCCCTGCTGGAGTTCCCCCAGCAGCTGGACTCACTGCCCGTGTTTTTGGTGAACGTCTTCTTGCAGATACAGCTTGGATTGACACCGATGACGGCAGAGTTTGCGTCATGACATTGATGGATCAAGCAACTCGTTACACTGCCATCCGGATCATGAAAAGTGAACAGTCGATTGACTTGGTGAAAGGCATTGAACGCAGTTGGATTAAGCATTTTGCAGTTCCAAAGTATTTGAGGGTTGACGAAGGCAAGGGATTCGCGGCACAATACCTCAGGGATTGGTGTTCAGAACGGCACATTGTTCTTGAGATTGCCCCTGCAGAGAGTCACAACTGGATTGGTTCCATTGAGAGGAAGCATCAGGTTGTTCGTCGTTGTTTGGAGATTTACATGCAGGAGCGAGGCCGCAAAGACAAGAAAACACTGTCAGAAGCAGCAACATACTGTCCCGGTCAGATCAACTCGTTGAGCTACACCAGAGGATTCACACCAGCACAGTGGGTTCTCGGACGGTCGGCTGCAGATACATATAGTTTGACATCAGCAGTGTTCAATCCCAACTTGTCTCCCATGAACGATCCCCTCGACTTTGACCAGATTCAGGCAAAACGTCTAGCTGCACAGATGGCTTTCTTGAAGGCAGATTCTGATGCAAGGCTTCGTCGAGCAATGCAACAGAACTTCAAGAGGACAAAGCATCACATTGTGGTTGGACAGATGTGCTACTACTGGCGTATTCAGAGGTCAGGCATCTTGCAAAAGAACAAGTGGCGAGGACCAGCTCGCTGCGTTGCTGAGGAGAAAGACGATGAAGGAAAGCAGTTAGTGTTGTGGCTTTGTCATGGCACATCCCTCCTCAGGTGTTCACCTCACCAAGTCCGTCCATTGGTGAAGGATGCTGGACTTCACAAGCCCGTTGACACCCATGCGGCGCTTGAAGATTTGAAATCACTACGAGCCAGGAGCACCACCCAGTTCAAAGATGTGATGCAAAAGCCCGAACATGAGATCGAGGACCTCATGAATGATGATGAGAATGAAGAGTATGAACCCACAGAACCTCCATCAGGAGATGAAGGTGATCAAGCAGTCCCAGACTCAGAGATGCCTGGTGCAGTGTTGATGTATCAGCGTGGTCGCAATGATGGGACAACAGACAGACCAATGTCGACAGGTTCACCTTCCACAGATGTTCCTGAGTGCCCGCCTTCAGTTGTTGGTGATGAACATAAAAGGGAGGCGGAAGATGACATCTCAGAGTTGGCCTTGAAGCGTGCGAGAAATGCAATCAGCATTCCAGTCCCTGACAGTGATGAAGACCTTTTCATTGACGATGCCTACATCGTTGAGATGGAGAGTGGCACACTACCAAAGGGCTGGAGACTCATTGACGGTGAGTTTGAGCTGGATGAAATGTTTCTTGCAGAGGTGAGTGAGAAACGCATGACGCTGGCTGAAAAAGAAGAGATGATCAAAGCAAAGCAACAGGAACTTCGACAGTACTTTGACAACAAAGTGTGGGAATTTGCAGAGTTGGGACAGCATCAACGCAGCAGGTTGATTTCTGCTCGATGGGTGCTTGTGTGGAAGCCCCCAAAAGAAGGTGAGTTCCAACGCAGGGCAAAAGCACGCCTCGTTCTCAGAGGGTATGAAGATCCAGATTACCTCAACCTGGAGAAGGCTTCACCTACAGCAAACAAGACCTCAAAGATGATCCTCCTAGCATTGACCCCAGTGCTACATTGGACAATCTTTTGTGGTGATGTTCGAGCCGCATTCCTGAGTGGTGCAACATTTGATCGTGAGATCATTGTCAAGTTGCCGGCAGATTGTTCAGCAATGCTTGGAGCAAAGGGGCCCACGTTCATGAGGATGCGCAAGTCGGCCTACGGTTTGTGTGATGCTCCACTGTTGTGGTGGAGAGAGGCTGACCAGAGGTTGAGGCAGTTGGGGCTCAAGAGACACAGATTGTGCAAGTGCACCTACATGATGTACAACTCAGCAACAGCATTGGTTGGGTTGATCATTTTGCACGTTGATGATTTGTTGTTGAGCGTCAACATGAAAGACAAAGAAGCAGTGCAAATTCTACAGAAGGTCAAGTCCGCTTTCGATTTTGGCAAGTGGCAAGAGCTGAAAGAAAAGGAGGACATTATTTACTGTGGAGGACGCATTGCAAAGAAAGGCGAAACAGTGAGTCTTGATTTCGAAGGCTACATGAAGAAGGTCATGCCCGTCACCATACAAAAGGGTAGGAACCAACAAGATGACCTCACACCATCCGAGGTGTCAAAGGCACGAGCTCTCATCGGTGCCTTACAGTGGCCGGCAGGCCAAGGATGTCCCTACCTGAGTGCATCGACTTCGTTGACAGCATCAAGCATCAACAAAGCCAAAGTTGAGCTTCTCACAGAGTTGAACAAAGCATTACGTTTTGGCAAGCAAGCATCGGATTTCAAGCTCAACATGACAGCAGTGTGCAATGGTCTTGATGACCTATGTCTGTTGTGTTTTTCAGATGCAGCTTTCAATGTGAGAAGCGACGGCAGTTCACAAGGTGGATATGTTGTGGTGTTGACTTCGAAGCAAGCATTGAAAGGTGAGCATGTTCCTTACAGTTTGATTAGCTGGCGGTCATTCAAGCTCACACGTGTTTGCAGGTCAAGCTTGAGTGCAGAGAGTCAAGCTTGTGCAGCAGCAATGGATGAATTGATGATGGTCAAGTCGATGATAGCATTGATGGTCGAACCAGACCTTGATCCACGAGCAGAGTCCACAGCCGCAGACTGTGGAAGTTCAGCGATCATCATCGATGCCAAGGCCTTGTACGACAGCTTGAAGAAAGATGGCATTGGAAGTTCAGCTGACAAACGAGCTGGAATCGAAATCCTTTGCATCAAAGAGGAGATCCACCGTCTCAAGACGGAACTCCGTTGGGTCAGTAGCGAAAGGATGCTGGCAGACGGGTTGACAAAGTTGCACACCCGACAACAGATGGTTGAGATGCTTCGCAGTGGGTGGCTGAGCATTGTTCACGACAGCAGCTACACAGCAGCAAAGAAGAAGGACAAGGAAGCACGTCAAGAATCTACTGCTCGGACCTTTGGATACACAAACAATGTTGCAGCACGCATTTCCATGGTTGTTGCAGCAAGCAGTGCACCAGCGGTTGGAGCAATGAATGAAACTGAAGAGCTGAGTGATTTTGAAAACACTTGGAGTGACTTCTTTTTCAGCTACATGTTTGGCGTGACGGTAGTGTCGCTGTTAGTTGGCATTCCCATGGTTGGCTGTGGTGTGTACAAGTGCATGTGCAAGTTCATTGATTTTGTCCGTACATTGATTTGGCAGCAGAAGATCATTTACATGTTGCGGGCCGAAGCCCGAGAGCTGCGCAATGAAGTTGAGGAGTCTCGTGATGAGCTGCTCCGGATTCGAACACGCCTCGTAAGGATGCGTGTAGGAGGGTGCTACTACACAGAGAGTGGCACTAGATGGCATGTCTTTAATGATTGCCACAGCTTCCGGTCGAGTTCCAGAGTCCTCAACAAGGACGGCATGTGTCGAGTTTGTTGGACAAGGCTGCAAGAAGAAACAAGCGGTGAAGTTCCGACACCACCACATGGGTGGAATGAGGACACGGATGGACAAGATGATGAAGCATGAATTTGGAATGTCAATTTACACTTTCCTCCCCATGTGAAGATCCATCCGAATCTTGATGTGATCATATTGGCCCAAAGTGGGAGGGCATTTGAACCGAGCTGGCGCGCCATGTAAAAGTTGCGGTTGGTGCTGCAGCTTTCGTTCGTTTCGTGTTGAGTTGGACTTCGAGGGCCATCTCAGTCAGGAGTTGTTGGTTTGAGGCTGCTATATCAACTCTTGTTGCTGCATATATAATATGCAGAAGTGTTGGTTTCTTCAAGTCGGAAACCATGGACGCAAAAAGATGCATTGCTCTCGCGAGTTCGGAAACCAAAGGACACCAACATGAGGGACGAAGTGACACAGCAGAAAAACACAGAGACCGAAGCAAAACACCTTCAATTTCTTTGTTAAATGTGTGTTTGTTTTGGGCATCGCCTACAACTGGCCCCGACCGGTAGAATGTTAGAAACTTGGGGAGGCAGGTTCCAAAATAGGGTCATGTAGACTCTTGATTGACAAACTCCCCCCCCCCCCTTTGAAGTGGAAATCCTCTTCATATGGGGGGTTATGAATCAAGAATCTACATGATGAAGTCTTCGACCCCATTGTTTTTCCAAAACGACACGGCGGACCGGCTCGTTCCTTTTTTTCCTCTTCCGCCCCCCTCCCCCCAAAAAAACCTCCCAAAGGAGATTGTTACATGTGTGGTGCCTCATGAAGGGTTTTTTAAACACATAGAGAGCGTGAGGGCTCCGCAAATAGGTTGCGTCGCCAGAAGGGCACGTGAGTACGTCCTGCTCCTATAGGTGAGTACGTCTACGAGTATGAGGAAGAGACGGTGTCGGACAGTGCGGAGAGCGACCGCGCCAAGAAGGAGCCACCGCGACCGCGCCGAGATAGTGCACGTTGCGAGACGTGGGAACCTCGTGGGACGGGTTGGTATGTTGAAGTTTGTTTCTATCAGGGGTGATGGTTTTTTGTTTAAATAAGGGGTCTTCCAAGATTGTGTTCATTTTGGACCTCTCAGAGATAAGCTTGAAACAAGGGGAAACTGATCTTGCTGAAAAACTGGAGAGCTTTTAGTGTGGCCACCATTTGTTGACCTTTGCCAAATGCTACAGCCTCAATCGAAGTTTCACGATGCTGACTTTGAACTACCTGCCACCTCGAGTCTGAAAAAAGACCAGAGCTAAAGGACCTGCATCTGTTTGATCCAGGTTCCGGTTGTATGAGGTTCTTTTAAACTTCTTTTAATACATGCATCCTTACTCAATCCAAGGCCCCCCTGGGGTAGATGGCCTCCATCTAAGGTAGGAGTTATTGTTTTAATATGTTTGATTCCAACATATTCCGATTTTCTTTCGCCTGCGCGATCATGGTGTTACAACCTTAAGGGGGTGAAATGTGCCGACGTGAGATGAGCCACAGACGGATGAGCGACATGACATCTGCATACCCACGAAACGTGGATAACCTTGGGGAGTCACTCTACAATGATCTACAATGATCTACAGTTATCCGATAACCTGAACAATATTTTTGGGAGTGGTTTCCACGGAAGCTGAAGGAATCAGCATTTGACCAAACCAAAACACCATAGTTTCACTTCATTTGACTTGCTGATCGACGCGCAAAAGCCCTGAAGCCCCATTTCTGGGCTGGTGCCCCTTTGCAGAGTCGAAGAAGAGCCCTTTGTGTCGTGTTTGAAGGCCGTCCCGGGGCAAAAAGGGCACCGCTCTTCGGAGCGGGCTTTGGCGGTAGGAGTTTGGACAAAGCAGGACATGGCAGATGCATCCTCGATCATTTGGGTTCAATATTGCGAGCCGTTGCTTGAAATGATTTTTACAGATTTGTGTGGACAAATAAGAAAATCTCGATGTACAAAAACGCGAGTCTTGGTTGCTGCTTGAGACCGTGGATGCAGATGCTGAGATTTGGAGTTTCTTGGTTGGTGCTCTTTTACGCATTGTTTGCGGAAGGCCCTTGACAAAGCAAAACATGGCAGATGCATCTTCGAGCGTTGTGCAACTCAAGTGTGTATTGTTAGGGGCTTGTGCAGGAGTGTTGTGGACTCTCACATCGCTTGTTGGGGTTTGTTGAGTCAAACACGTTGTTCTAGGCCTTTGCGATGGCGGGTTTTCGCCCCTTCACTTCTCAGGTGGGAGCTTGGTTTCGAAACTTCAGGCTGTCAAGGGCTGCAAAAGCCCCCCACCTGGATACGCAGAAAGGATTGAAATTATTTCCATCACGTGTTCCACAAACGTTCTCATGGCGTGTATGATTGGGGGCAACATGTTCCTGTCCTACCACTGCAGGCCCGGAAAAATTTTGCAAAGTGCAAAGTTTTTATGGTTGAAAAGACCTTGCAGGCCTGAATCCCCCAAAACATTATGGATTGTTTTTTCCGTGTGGGGGCATTTCTTACTTTCAAGTGTTGAAATGAGTGAGAACTGAAACTAATTGTTATATATAAGTCTCTCAGCATTTGTTTCGCGCCCTCTTGTTTTTTTGCTGCGCGGTCCATCCCCAGTTCGTTGGGAAACAACCAACAGGTTGAAAAAGGAGGCAGTACCCCAAACGTTGGCCCCAAACCAGGTTGAACATTTACTGTACCATATATATATATATAAGATGTCATTTTCGGCATGCTGCGTAAATTGTTTAACTACAGTATGTGCATTCGCCCTTGATCCAGGACCGTAAAAACAAAAAAGACGACAAGAAGAGGCTTGCTGCATTAGTGTAGGGAACGCGCATGTTTGTTTGTTTGTTTGTTTGTTTGTTTGTTTTTTAAACATATGGTGCAGAACCAATAAAGGAACATGTGTTCGCTGGTGTGGTTTCAATATACCAAGACCGGGGGCTCACCTTCGATCCGTTATCATGTCACATATTGATTGCGGGATTCTACGACCAAGCAACTTTAACCCGCCCAGCCCTGGTTTGGCTGAACCGAAGGCTTTGGCCAAGCCATGCGCATGGACTCAGGGGCAATTCCATCAAGAAATTCCGACATTCGACAATGAGGAACTGTGGAAAATTAATGTTCAATCCATTGTAGCTTGCCAGAAGTTCAAAGTCTGAGCATGGATTCAATCCAAAAAAGGGTGCCTTTTCGGATGTTGTTTCAGCTGGAGTTTCTTTCAATGGATGCTAGGCTTCGGTGCGAAGTTGAAAAATTGTGGTCTTGTTTGACTTGTAGGCATTCAGGTAGCCACGAGCGTGTGTAGATGTGTGTAGTTTGCAAAGATCCCAATGGGAGCCGTGAGGGTCTTCTATTCCGACATGTGCTGAGTCTGATGTTGGGTCCTTGCTCATGTTGCTCATCTCAGGAAAGATAAGAAAGATAAAAAGGACAAAGAAACAAAGGAGAGACGGAAGGATAGAGCTGACGAGAGGCCAGGGAGGTCTCCCTAAGTCTGATGGACGGAGTAGTGACCTGCAAGGTGCTGGAAGTCCACCGGGTCGGAAAATGGCCACAGACCAGCTCGGGAGACCTGCATAGATCAATTGGACCGGCCGGGGGCAGCTTCCAGGAGGTTTCCATGTCTCCACTTGAAGACCAGAATTTGCACCTCTCGATCACACTGGCGGAAACACACTTCCACGATCCGTGCCGAAGAATCCTCGGAAGTTCGAGATCAAAAGGTGTGAAAACTGCACCTAGCCAACTTGAGGTTGAGATGCAAGCCTTGCAAGCTAGGCAGTGAGCCAAAACCAAGTGATACTGCAGTTTCTCAAGCCCGATTCAAGCACCAGGCAGCTACAGAACTTATGGGGATTAATGTGACCAACCGGTTGACCTCCCTGTTTTCGGTCAGCCGTTCGCCGCCGAGTGCTTCTTCTCGTTCGCTGTTGCGGTTCAAAGCCGCCGAGACTCCTCACCTTGGGAGGAAACTGCTGGGAGGTCGCTTGACCCTCCGATCCGCACCCTGCGGCTCGGACAAGTCCGTACCCACAGGGTTGACATGGATGAGCGGACCCGGCCGGGGGATTCGATTCATAGGGGATATGAAAAACAGGTGAGGGTTGTTAGATTCTATCTCAGTTGTCAAATCTTCCCTTCCCTTCCTCCCTTCCCTTCCTCCCTTCCTTCCCTCCTTCCTTCCTTGTACACCCTGTGATTTCAAGCAGCGGAAATCCTGTTGGGGGCTGAAGCTCTAAGAAGCTGTTGATAGATGGCCAATGGTGAGTTACTGGGAACGCTTGCTATACGTGCAATGTATTACGCCTTCGTAGTAGAACTAATCTGCACTCAGCAACTACTAACCTTAGCTTTCAGGGTTGTGGCAACACTCACGAGTTTCCAAGGAGCAAGAACGCCATGCTGCAAGTCCTGTACTGGTTTTAAGCAAATCAGCACAGTTTGCTTAAAGCACGCGTTTGGAGCTTGCAGGGCTTCCAATTGGCAACTATTGTCTATTGTGACTTGATGAAGCAAGGCAGGTGTCAGGTGGGTATTGTTGTTTTTCCCTACATGCGCTTGCTATCCTTGGCCCCGGTGTTTGCCATGATCTCATTCTGCTTCGCTTGCTGCCGAAGATGGAGGTACCCACTCCATGTAGCTACATTGACCCCTTGCTGTCGGGCAAAGCAGGTAATTATACTATATTATACTGTATATGGGTGAGTGGTAAGTAAGAGCGTGTGTAGTTTCCTTTTTGCAATGCATCCCCCCACGTATACTTAGATCTGCCATGCATGGGGGATTTGGGGCTTCATAGGTTAACGTGGCACACCAGCGAGCAGACTTCGATGTGCCATGCATGGGGCGCTTAAGCTACACGTGCCATATACGCGTCTTTCTGGAGATGTGCCCCGCGCCAGGTCTCGTTCCCGCGACCGAGACCGTGGGTCCAAGGGACGTGACCGCAGCCGAGGAAGCCGCGGGCGAAGCCGCCGCAGGCTGTGAGTTCCCTGCCGTGGTGAAGCTGTTGGGAAGTGATTATCCTATATATGAAGCTGCTTCGCTCTTCCCCCACTAGGACCACTTAATAAGATTTCGTTAGCTTTGGGCCTTGGGCGTGTGAGGTTCGCAAAGGTTGCTAGTGGACGCTCCGGATGTTCTAAATGGTTATGGTTGTGCTCCCAGAGCCTCGTTGGGCGCATGAAATGTGTCCCAATCAGCCTCCTGAAGCCCACAGCTCTGCATGGAACAAAGCTATGTCCACAACGTTGAAGGCACTTATTTTTGCAAATAGATCCTGCCGTGTCCCTACCATGATATGCGCCGTATATTAGGGGTAGTTTCTTGGCAAAGTTCATGGTCAGCTGAGACAAAAGCTTCGACCAAGGTTTGATTTTTAGATAAGGGTTTGTCTCGTGGTGCAAAGAGCAAGGTCGGACCAACAAACCAGAGCAGAAATGGTTCAACATGATTTGCACAACAGCACCAAGAAACAACAGCAAATTCACCAAAGTAGGGAAATCTATGGGAAGGTCTTGAAATGAATGAAATCCAACTGCAAATTGTGTCAAAACGAAACGTCATTGGTTGGTGCTACGCGCTTGCAAATACAAACTCGTAATATAATTACCACCAAACTGATCAAATGTCATTGTGGGCGGGGTCCTTTGCGCATGATGCCACTATTTCCAGGTCACGATGTCATGACATTCACCATTTGCAACACATCTGTGTCTCTTGAAAAGGTGCTAGGACTGCTAGGAAGACCCTTTTGAATCATGTTGATGTCTACAAGGAGGTCGTGCTTTTGTATGATGACCCCATTTTGTTAGGTTTTGGACATCCTTGGTCGTCCCAAACACACCGGCGTCCACCCTCGGACAGCGTGAACAAGCTCCCGTCGGTCCAGGCGTTCCCGGTCCCGTACGAGAGATGAAGATCGAGTGCCGTCGCCCACCTATTCCACAGAGGACGCAACACCACGTGGTGAGTGTTTCTGTTCTGTTCTGCAAACGCGCGGCGTTTTTCGTGCCAACATGGGTGACGTTTGATTTTTGTTGTTTGGAATGCATTGGAATTCAGGGATTTGTAGTGGAATAAGTGGATCTAGTTTACATTCCAATGGTGCTTGGACACATTTTGTGAGACATCATCGCCTGAGTAGCCTTTTGCTTAATCACTCCTCATGAAGCTCCCCCTTTGAGAGTGCAGTCACTCGAGTCACTACTTGTTTTATCATGTTTGCATGCAGATAAATCAGCTGCAATAAACAAACCTTGCGCAGCTGTGCCGTTCAGGGTTGCATATCGTCGATGTGTGGTTGCCACAGTGAAGGGAGCGTGGACCACTTCCCACAACGACATCAGGTCCATCACAATACATCTAGACCTTGGGGGATGATGTTCCACGTTACCGTGAGCAAGAATAGGCATATGTCAATAACTGATGAATATAATCATAAATCCCAGAGCATCCATGGGACGGGAATAGTTACCTACATTGGGGTCATGTATAGATGGGGTAACAGCATGTAATAATTCCATACATGGATGATTTGGAACCTAACACATGTTTGTTTTTTATGTAAATAGTCTAGATCTAGCGCCCGGAGTGTGAAAGTACCCCCCGCAGCTAGGTACAAGCACCCCGGGTAGCCGTGACACCTCTTTAGCATGGCCCTGCCAGTCCTTGTAGGTCCTAACCGTTGTGAGCTCATTTACAACCAGTTTCTCGAGTGGCATGTCCCATTCTCCGGATCACCGCCATGCCTTTGATTGTGCAGTTCGTCAAATCACGGTGGCCACGGCCAAGCCCAAGATCCGCCCCAGACCGATGCAGGACCTGTGGCGACGATTGCAGCATTTGGGCACTTGGAAAGGTCTAGGCGTGCGACCGGCACGCGCCGGAATATTCGTGCGTGCGCCCAGCGTAAAATGGAACCCCAAGACAAACCGTTAAAGGCAGAAGCTTAGATATCTTAAGATTTAGATTGTTGACATATTGTATAACCGATGTAAACTGGCACCGGACCATATTTCAAAGTGGTTGTTTCTGTTTTCAAGGCCAATTACTGCTACTTTTGAAGGGACGCCAAAAGAATGACAGTTTCTGGAAGGCTGGTGGATGTTCCCTTGGACAAGCAGTTCAAACTCCGCCCGCACTTGATCAACTTCGGATACCAATGTCAAAGGATGTCAAAGGAGATTGCCACAGCAACCAGCCACAAACCAATAGATCTCTGGAAGAGCCCTGACCTGTAAACTTTGGCCCCCGTCCGGAAGCTGATTCTGAATGTGAAATACTGAGAGTCTCCTGAAGTGTTGTGGATCAACAATCTCAAGAACATTTCCAGAGAACACCGACCCCGTAGTCGGCTGTTGCTGGCTGATCTCCGCTGATCTCCACGCCGTTTTTCGCATACCAGACAGCAAGCGTGAGAAAATCAGCCTGAAACACCAACTCTAGGGGAATTGGTGCAATCAAGATTCAATCAAGACACAACGTTCACAGCACTCTTCAGTTTGGCAGCTCAGTTTTGGGATTCAAAAGTGTTCCCACCATGTTGTGCGCGGCATTTTGGTTCGTGCCTTCGGCCCGTGCCTTAAGCACCTTTGCTCAATCCCAGTAGGCACCACATATAAGTTTTCATTGAGGTTTTGTGTGGGCTGAACCTGTACTTTGCGAACTGAACGGTTGGATGCAAAACCCAGAGACTCGGCACTGCACTGGCATAGCCATACAGTAAAAACCCTTTGGGATGGTTGACCTGGGCACAAGGTAGGCATATATATTGTACGGTATAGAATTGGAGTGTTTGCAACAATTGATGAGTATTGCATAATATTGTTTTTGATTCATTTAACAGATCACCTCAAGTGCTCGGGCTGGTTGAGTCGCGGCAAATCATGTTAACATAAATGTTTAAGGATGAAGGTGCTTTTGAGACGGTGGAGTTCCTTTACCAGCAAGCATGTTGTAGAATTTGGGCAACCAAACGGGCTGGGAGCCCTATATGATAATTCCTTGGTGGCACACACGCAGGTCCATACCAGATGGTAAGAGCTGATGTAGAAATCCTGAATCATAAGCCATAAGCTCCAGTAAACCGCCATGTAAACCGCCTTTGCGGCTTTCAGAAAGCCATGGCGAAGAAGACGAGCAAGGCCAAAGGGGTCGGCGGCGGAAAGAAGCAGCATGCTGACAGTGGCGGCGCGGGACGCCACCCGGAGCAAAGCAGCACTTGAAGCTGAAGAGCTTGTACCTCAGAAAATGGGGTACAAGGTAAGATCAAGTAAGTACCTGTTTTTGCCGGGTCATGTCCCATAGCGACGCTACTGGGTCAGTCGGGTCCAAGTACTTGGGATTCTTCTGAGCGTTCGCTGTTTGCATGATTGCGATCGCATGCGTGTTAGGCTACGGGAGGGAGTTTACTGTGCGTCAATGGGCTATTTGCCAAATACATCTTGACTGCTCTGACTGTCCGTTGGTCTATCAAAGAATTCTTGACAGCTGGGCTTGATTATATTATATTCGAGTCAAATGTTCGATCGTTAGATAAAGGCGCCCACGTGGACTCGGACGTTGGAAGCAAGTTCAATACAGGACCTTGAAACAGAGCTGGCCTGCTTTTCTTTTCCTTTTTGTCTTACTGCAATTACCTTGAAGGTCGCGTGAACATCATCCCCAATTTCAAGTCTCATCCCCTGATGATTACTGACTGAATAAAGATATCCTTTGAAGGGTCTTGCATTGGGTCTTGTTCACCAGGAAAGTCTCATCGCCCGATTGGTCTCGAACACGGGGTTTGGTCTCGAACATTCTGCGACTCACAACTGTCTCCCACCAGCCTGTGAGGAGCAAGCTGAGTTGCTTTTTCAGCTTCCACATGGTGGTTCCGTCGTGCTTTTCACACCAGCGGACTGAGAAACACATAATTGTTCCTATAGTAGTAAGAATACAACTAGTAGTAAGGCCAGGAGCCCCTAGTAGAGTCCTTGCTCCTAGTAGCGATGCCCTTTGTTCCTAGTAGCTTTTTGCTTCTTTTCTTTTCAATGTCCTTTGCGACTTTGCGAGTCGGCGGCTGCATAGTCATCTTCCGCAAATTTTTCCCTCGCAGCGGCAAACGCTTTTTTGTCCAACACTTGAAAGGGATCCAAGCAGCCCAGGTTTGAATCATCTTTAAAGCAAGGACGAGCTGCCAGCACTTGGCAGGTGCCCCGCCGTGGGGCAAACGAGCAGCTTAGGCCAAAGCAAGCCGAAGAAAGGCAGCGGCAAGGGCCGCCACGGTGCCCGACGAAAGGAGCTGCGCCAGGACGAGCAAGTCGGACGCCCACGTCGGTAGGTGTTGGGAACCCCAATGAACAGTCCATGAACATCCAGATGCAAATCCCTAAATCATACAGCCCGGTGGTGTTGACTTGTTTCGGTATCCGGTCTGTGAGTTGGATGGCTTGGTCAGGAGCTGCTGGGTTGACGCTCCAGTTGATATTAGTCCTTGACACTCCAGTTGATATTACAGCACTCCTTTTGCCAGATGGTTTTGGACGTCGACCTCAAAAATGGGATCCCAAGGCCGTTTCTCAATCTTCGCAATGGACAGAACGACCGGAAGATTTGATTTATGGCATTAAATGGGCGAAATGGGGGTGTTCCCGGCATCGAAGCGTAGCGTCCTCCAGGAGATGAAAGAATCCCAGCGCAAGCGCCAGAAGCGTGCACATGGCAAGGAGGTCTCGACGTCGCTTTTTTACGTCGCACCCACAGGCCTGTAGGTGTGAAGCTGCCTGCCCACAGCTGCTTCAACATGTGTCACGAACCGAACGAACCCCCCAAGCGAATCCCTTTCAAAACCGCCGGAAAAAGCCAAACGCTTTCGCCTTCCGTCCACCCTGACATCGCAAGATCGAGCGAAAAAGACGGGACGCCTGCGAACGCCTGCGACCAGACCCAGGTGGAGGAAACCCGACAGCGCCTGCGGCTGAAGCTGCTCGAGCGGCAACTCTCCCGTGGCCCGGGTGCCTCACCCGGGGAGCTGCGGCGGCAGTTGCTGGTGGAAGCGGCCCAGTGACTGGGCGGCGGGGTTAGCAGATGCTAGCAGTAGCTGACTCTCCCTCAGATAGTTCAAGAAGCATTTGTCAAAGGAACCAAAAGTCGATATTAATTTCAACGTTAAATGATGAACAAGTGATGCACCAGGCTGGCATAGGCTGGCAGTTCGCCTGCCATTCATCCAGGCTACAATCCAAGAATGGGCGGCCCAAAGTGGCACTTCAGTGACTCAGCTGCGGATCATTTGAATCATTGAAGGTTGGAATCCAATTCAATATGTGGTCCAGAGATGGTTCATTCATCATGCTTACCCCTCCGCAAACAAACATGGAACCTGAGAATTGACCCGTGGTTTCGACCATCGCCCCCCAGTGGTCTTGGGGGTCCATGTGGTCCTCTGCAGGGGAGCGTTTGGGAATCCATTTTTTGACCTCAAGGAGAAACAAAGACCTGGCAACTCTTTCCCTTTCAGAGCACCTCCAGGTTGATCAAAGGATTTTATCCGACCAGAGTCACCATTACACTCACTGGAGTCATCATGGAAGTGGAAAGCATCTTTTCGTTTGTTTGCTTGCTTGTTTGTTTGTTTATTTGTTTGTACCCTTCCATGATGATTCCAGGAAAAGCCCTCGCATTCGACAGTGTGACATTCTTTCAGAGGTAACTCCCCGTAAAGTCACTGGGGGATGACGATCCTCGCCACCAGACGGTTCCCTCGACGACCGCGTCGCAAGCGCGTGGTTCAGACGGTTTTGACCTTCAGATGGTTGCAAGAAGCCCTGGATCTCCAGCCGGACGACACCGAGTTCCATGTGCGGACGAGCCTCCTGTGCCCCTTGGCCGGAGCTGTGCGGAAGGGTCGGCCTCCGTCTTGCACTGCCTGGAGGTTGGCTGAGTTGGATCTTCCAACCGCTTGGTCGTCCAACCGAACCAACGCCACAGCTCTCCGGGTGTTCTCCGGAGCCAGAAAGGTGTTCTTATAGGCACTGTCAGACTGACAGAAGTTACTCCACAAGGGGATAGAACTTGGGAGATAGATTTGGAGAGTGGAACTCGCAAACTGAAGAACGGATGCTCCCACTAAAGCTGCTTCAAGAATAGGCGTGGGTTGAGCTCCCGGAATCCATGATCCACTGATGGTAGAGGTACTGATTCAAGATTCCATGGTAGGCAGCTGGGCAGAAGACTTAAGAACTAACAAGCTGCTTCTTGTGTGCTGTATCCTTCTCATGTCTGTTTCAATTGCTTCAAGGTTTGGCACATGGGCCTTAGCTCTCCATGAGTCAGAGGTCTCTACATGGACCGTGCGATGGCTGAAGAGGCTGCTTCTCTACTGTGCCTTGGCTCAGGCTCCAGTGGGTATGGACTCGACGGCAATTTGAGTTGAATCACTCAGACGACTTCTCATCAGAAGCGAACGTGCGAAAATGGGATGGATGAACATTGCAAAGAGTGGATCATCTTGGATCGAACGAGAGCTTCATGAATCAACACCATACGACAAAATATCGTAAACATTCGTAAACACCGAAAAATCGTTCGAACAGATTCCATCCATCAAGCTAGCTCATTGCCGTTGCCAGTTCGTGCGGTTGAAGGTGGATCCGGCGACACGACTCACCAACCGAGAAAAAAAACACATGCCCAGACACTCCATGTATGCCATATATGCCTACATTGACCCCTCAAACCACCCCAACTGATCGGCATATACGGCATACATGGAGTGTCTGGGATGGGCACTAAGTAGGGGGAAGTTTCGGTCGCACTTGGATGACCATCCCAGACGCGACCGCACGGCCAGTCTGGACGGCGGAGAAGCGTTGCACTGGTGGTGCCGTCTGGGGCGTTTTTCTGGGGCGGCATCTATGGCAGTCCCATTAGTCGTGTATGGGCATGGTTTCACTGTGCATGACTTTTCCCAGACACCCCATGGGACTGCCATATATGCCGATCAGTTGGGGTGGTTTCAGGGGTCAATGTATGTAAATATGGCAGTCCCATGGAGTGTTTGGGTTTTTGGAGCTCCTTCAAGGAGCGACCCCAATCCGCCGTTGCTGCAGCCATGGTCTCCACAGCATTTCTGTCGGCTCCCTGCTTTAGGTGGCTGGACTGGTCGGTCACCCTCGGTCCTTTGTGTGGGTCTCTTCGGGTTGCTCGGGGACTAGGGACTGGTCTGGGCACCTCACATTGACTGGTACCCCCGACCCATGGGACACGCGAGCCCCAAGGTGGATGGTGCACCGTCTACCGAAAACCCAAGTCATCCCAATCCAAGCTCCGCGGGACCATTCAATCGCCACCCCCTCAGATTAGATGCATAGGGGGGGATCCAGTCGTACCTCCTCAGGTTTGGTATGACTGGACCCGAACATGGCTCCCAACCCAGTCCCACCTTCTCAGAAGGCACTTGGATCCCTAGGGGTAGATGTTCCAAGCTTTAAAGGAGAATGCCTCATTTCTATTTCTCCAATGCACACCCCTGTTTGATCATTTGCAGTCTCCTTTGACAGTTGCAGGGCCGCTATACAAAACAGGTCACGATCCCTCTTCTTTGGCTCATGATCCGTTTCTTTAAAAAAAACAAAACAAACAACTTCCAGACGGCCAACGCAAGCCATGGACCATTGGTATCCATTGGTTCATTCTTCCCCGGACGGTGACGCCACTCAACCATTCCCCACCCCTTCGCTCCCAGCTTCACCTCAGGAAGGGCCCCCTCTTCACGAGCATCCATGACGCCTCCGCCTCCGCGGAGAGCGGAGACGGGGGTTCAGCAGCAGAGACGACGGCGCGGAAAGCGCACGAGGCGAAGACGGCAGGCCGGGGCAGGGGTGTGCAAGGTGTGAATGTGTGTGTTTTCTCTTCCCGCACTGAATGCAGACAGTTGAATTGGTAAAGCCACCCGTCTCCGGAATTGTTTTGCTGTAGAATCTCCCAGTCCTGGTGAATTTGTCATCAACAGTGCAATATACTTATTGATGCTGATTGCTTCTGGTTGCTCACCCATGGGCTTCCCAGGGTGGCAGTTCATGTGATGTGATGACAATGTGACGCCCTTTTCAAGCAGTGGGAATTGTGGCCCATTTTGGACCAACTTTTTTTGAGGCTGTGGTAGTGCACTTGTGTTAGCACATGTGTATAAAGCCTGAAACATGTTTCTTTAAATGCATCCCGTTCTGTTGCTTTTTGGTGCTCTTTGGACTCTACAGATGCCTGTTCTCGGACCTGTTCCTTCTGAAACCACGTATTTCACCAAGACCTGCGCAGTCGGATGCACCGACCGCGTTTGAGAAATGCTCGCCATCGCGCCAGGTTGCTACTCCATCGCACTGCTCAGCTATATTTCTGTGCATGTGCTGATGGAGCACAAGAAACCAAAAGCTCAGAAGGAGGCGCGGCAATCCGGCAGTTCACGCCCACGCCCCACACGGGCGTGAAAACACACACGCGTGTTGTTGCTTTGGTTTGCGGTGCTGATTTTTTCACTTGCTGGTTGGTGACCTGCAATTGAGTACAAAAGTCTTTCAGTTCACAGGGGTGGAGATTGAAGCTTTCTCTTGGCAGTGCAAATGTAGCGCCGTGGGAGCAACTCTTATTGCATGCTTGCCGATGTTGGAGTTTCAACGTGCTTTTCCAGTTGAACCATGTGAACCCACAGCCATACCACAAAGCCTTTTATTGAATGACCATGTCAGCCCCTCTTCCCCTCAGGACAAGGGCGATCCTTCCCTTCTGTTTGTCGCTGCCTCTCCAAATTCTCCAACTCAGGCTGCTCAGAGGTTGCTGGAGAGGCTTCGCAAGGCACACGCCCAAAACCCGTTCATTGCAGAGACGAAAGCTGCAATTAGAATTGTGTGTTATTTTCCTTTTCTCTCTGTGTTCTTTCTCAGAGTACAGTTAAAGTAATCTTGTACGTGCTGTTATGCACTACTCTTCTTCCTTGCTTGTTCAATTCGCATAATAATGTAAGATTAGCAAGTAACTTGCTGTGACATTCCCCAAAGAATATCCTCCAAGGCATGTGGGATGGTACACAGACCTGGTAATTGGTCTCATGGTCTCATGGTCTTTGCGAATGATGTCTTTTTGTGCCCTGCCACTTGTAACCCCATGTCACCACTGTTGAGGAGGAGATCGGCGTTCAAGCACAGCTCATATCTCATAGGGGATCATGGCCGTTGGGCCGTTCATGGCTTGGGGGACCATGTGGCAACTCCTTGGTTTTGCTGAGTCTTCCCTATGGCCATCTATGGCCCTTAGATCAACACACCTCAGCTTGGGCGCAAGACTGGAGTTGAGCCTTCAAACACTCCTAGGTCGTCCTAGGTGAACTTGGAATCCAGTCGAATCCAAAGCACAGTAGAATGGTTCCTTTTCAGGAGAACCTACCCTAGGCCCCGGGGTGGAAAGAAAACATTATTGGTGTTGAACATCTCAGTTGTCGCCTTCAATGCTGCCACTCTTCAAGGAATTTCTGGCCTTCGCACCTGCCTTCGAGCCAACGTTTCCCTTTGGATGCCTCTTGGTGGACGGTGGGTGGGGGATTCCCATCAACCGGTCGTTGATCAATCGGACCTGTAGAACCATGGAGAACCTAGTAGGGGTTTCCCATCAAAGGGGGGCAAATCCTTAAATCATCAATTTTTAATGGGTTGTTGAATCCGGACTGTTCTAATCCGCGGCTTCGGGTCCAGGGTCAAGAGGTGTTCTTCGTCCGCGAGGAGGTGGTTGGTCATAAGCCTTTTGTTTTTGGGGGGCACCCACCTCAATTTGCCTTGAGGGAAACCTATGAAAAGACCTAAGAGAGTGGGTATCGTTTCAAGCACACCCACCTCTATTTTTGAAGGAAGACCTATGAAAACCTACTTGGCTTCGTTCGGTGAGCACCGTCGCCGTGGGCGAAACTGGGTGGGCGGAACTCCCTGTTGACATGCACTCACCACCTTTCCCTCGTACCCTCTCTGAAGGTGGGACTGGGGTGGGTGCCAGGAGGGTCCAGTCGTCATGATATTTGATGTGACATGTGCACCAACCTCTCTCAGCCGAACTGGCCGTCGTGGTACGGGTTATGGGGGGCGCTGACCCAGCAACCTCAACCAGACCCAGGGACGGCTAGCTAGCGAGAAGCAACCAAATTCTTGACCTGTGCAAGCTTGGCGCAGGGAAGTTTTCCCCAGTGTTTGCGTAGGTCACTCCCAAAAGGTTGTTTGACCTCTGCCAGGCTGAAAAACCACACTGAACAACGACCACCCGCGGTGGTCGTTTGTCCAGTGAGGTGAACTTCCAGAATATGAGGCAACGGCGGAGGAGGCCTGGAAGGGTTTGACATTCAGGGTTGGAGTTGCTGGAGGTGACAGGTGGACAGTCTTTGGTTGACGGGATGGAGAGGAGGCCGCCGGATCTTATTCATTTTTTGATCTCAATTTGGGTGAGAGCCATGGCACCCTAGCCATTACATATACATATAGATATAGGGATGGTGCTTGAGCTGCTTGAGGTGGTGGAGACCAACAAGAAGAGGGAAAACATGTGAACACTCCAAGCATCAACAGACGTCGTACGTACCAAAATCGCTGCCAGCCAGGGGTTTGGACGGGCCCCCACTTGTAGCAGGCAACAGTGTCGAGGCACAGCTACCAGGCTTTCTAGTACAGACCCAGTTCAATCCGTCACCAACTATTCATCATCATCATCATCATCATCATCATCATCATCATCATCATCATCAT